TGTAAAGAACTCCCATGGTTCAAATGCAGGCACATATGGTTAGGGATGTTTTGTTTGACATATTTAAGCGTGTCAGGGTTTCCTCTAGGAAAGAGGCACATGTGAATTTCTTGATAGACCCAACAAAAGGAAGGTCAATCCTCAGACCGGCTGACATTTTGATTTTTGGATGGGTTGGAGGGAAACACACATGTGTGGACCTTACAGAGGTATCCCCTCTCATGGGCTTGAGGTTTGGGGGTTTCACAGCGAGACAGGTGACTATAAAAGTTGCTACAGGCAAAGTCACCAAACATGAGAAATCGTGCATGAAAAATCAACATGTGTTCATACCATTTACATTTGATACGTTTGATTTCCTCGCGCCGGATGAAGTAGAGCTTGTTAATAGAGTGCAACGGATCATGCATAACAATGTTATATCCCGAGATCTATGGATGTAGTCTTTAAAAAAATTAGCTTTTGACATACAAAAAAGCTTAGCGGCCAGGGCCAGCCCCATGGATTCCAATGCTTAGGACGAGCCGGAAAAAGAAGGCCCTTGGGCCCTAAACGAATTAAATTATGTAAACTAAAGTTTGTTTTTTAAACGAGGATAACAAGTCATCATGTATGTTATATGTACCTTAAATGGATTTTTGAAGTTGCAACAACGTTTTCTATTTTGATAAATGTTTGTTAGTTTCTGTGACCAAATTGGAAGGTTTTTTAGATTTAATCCATCACTTATCAGCCCTTCCGCGTTCATTGTTGTGTAAGTTCAAAATTTTGGAGCTTTTGAAACTGAAATTTAGGATGTTAAAATTTAAGATTTTTCATTATTTTGGAGTGCACACTAAGTTATTTTGGTCTCTCTTAGAACCTAGAACTTAAAACAAACATATTTACATGAATCAAATGCATTTCTTCTCAGTTTTGTGCCTACACTAGAAATGTTCTTTTTGGATTTTCCCATTGTTGATTTTGTGAAACTTGGACCTTTGGAAAACGTAAATGCTATAAGACATCCAAGCTTTGTCAACCAGGTGGAATAAAATGTGGTTTGATTAAGTTGTGATCTACCTTGATTATCATTCTATTGAAATCCTTTACTAACCTTAAACCATTTTCTAACCTTGTTTGATCAGTGGAATGAACAAAAAGAAAACTGGAAATCTGATAAGTAGAAGTACTAACATTTAACTTTTTGAATTCTAATATGATAATTTTAATACATCATACATAAATGATCGATTAGACGATTTCAACAAATCAACAATCAATAATTCAACATTGATACATTAAGTGTTCAATTCAACTCAAGTATTCAAACATAAAATGATATTCAAAATTTTAATCGAGTGATTTCTGTATCTAATAATGCTAATCGACATTACTTAAACTCATAAGTGATAATCCACATTCAATATTTCAATTACAAACTGATAATTCAACTCAGTAATTGAAATTTTGATTTCGACATTCAATTTCAAACTGATCCATTGAAGGAGTTAAAGATTTGGATAACATCAATTAATCGATTACTTACCTGATTAGCAATCAGTAGAATAGCAGGTCTGCAGGAGTGCATAAATCAACCCTTTACAAAATCATAGTAACCCTCCTCTCAAATGTTGTCGCTGAAGTGTGATCGATCGATGCTACCTTCTCCGATATTAAAGTATTGGACTATCTTTTCTTTGAGCTGAAATAATACAGGAAAAAAACGTGGGCCCCTGAAAAATAATGGGTCATGTGCACTATCCCTTCTTGCCACTCCTTGTCATTGACCATGTTAGCAGCGCAACTTGTTATCCGTTTGTCATCTCATTCTTTGTACGATAATAATTAAATTAATGAAAAAATGATAATATTGGAAATGATATATATATATATATATATATATATATATATATATATATATATATATATATATAGTTCAATAAAGAACCATAATTATTGGTTCTTCAAGGAACAAAATCTTTTTTTTTTTCAATTTCTAGAGCTTATTCTTTATTGAAAAAAAATCTGAAAATATCTTAATTCATATATTAACATTGTGAATATGAAAAATATTTTTCGGATTCACCGTGTGAATTCGGATTCACGTTGTGAATTGTCCAAAATTCACAATGTGAATTTGACGTAAAAAAATCGAATTTGATATCATTAGAAAAAACATAAAATGTTATGAAATTCTGCATTTTTAGTTTTTTTTTAATAAAAAAATAATTTCTAAAAATTGAAAAAAAAATTAATTTTTTTATTTCCTTGGTTAATTATGATTCTCTATTGAACTCTTATATAGTTAGGATTTTAGTTTGACCGAGTATGTATTATATGCATTACCGTAATGATATCGCTTTACTCTATTTTCAACCAGCTAATTCGTTTACTTTAAATTGAAAAGTAAACAAGAAAAAGAAAAGAACGTGTTTGTATCATGTTATCTAATCCTTAACTTGCTACGTTTATTTTGTCGAATGTCTAAGATGCTGTAACGAACATCTATAACAAATTACATAAAATTTTGACGTAGAGTGGTGGAGCCCAACAAAGTTTAAAGTATCTAAATAATCGAAACCAGACCAATTTGTCTTTTGGAAATTATTGTTCATATAAAAAAGTTAGAAAACCAAGAAACAGTGTCGTGATCAGCTTACGTCATTGTCGCAGTGTTTGTTCAGGAATCTCTCTCTCTCTCTCTCTCTATATATATATATATATATATATATATATATATATATATATATATATATATATATATATATATATATATATATATATATCATATTTTAAATTTTAAAAAATATAGTTTATAAACAAAAATTATAAATGAGTTATACATAAATAAATCATTAATATTTATCAAAATTTTGAATACTTGAATTAAAAAAAGTAATTAAGAAATTTATATTGAAGCAAAATAAAAATTTTAAAATATTAAATTCATGTATATAAATTTATTTATGTTTCTTAAATTAGATATTAATATTAATTAATTTACTTTGATAATATAAACAAACAATATAAATATTAAGTATAAACATAAATACTACCTACGTCCCAAATTAATTGGCCACATTTGACTTTTAAATTATTTATTACTTAACTTTGACATTAAATATTTTTGTTTTTTGATAGATAATACTTGATGCAAAAAATATGGATGAATTATATTTTAAATGTTTTTCTATCGTTATAAATTTTATTAAGTAATATATAATAAAAATAAAAATATTTAAGGTAAAGGTTGAATAAATATGACTTCAAAAATCAAAAATCAAAAATTAATTTGGGATAGATGGAGTATTAAATTTAAAAGTGGTAATTTTATATAACACAATAATTAGTAATAAAATCTAATAATTATTTCCCTATAAGAAATTATTAGCCAAAAAACTATTTATTTTGCCGCTTTGCGCGGGCATATATATATATATATATATATATATATATATATATATATATATATATATGTGTGTGTGTGTGTGTGTGTGTGTGTGTGTGTGTGTGTGTGTGTGTGTATATACACACACACACACACACGATTTAAAAAAACTTTTGAATCAACTTGTTTATGATCATTAATTTGTTATGATCTAAAAATATTTGGACTCAAATATTTTATAATCCTTAATGATATCTTTTATTATTCAAAATTAAATGATTCAAAATACATAATGATCTATAATTTTTTTGAACAAAAACTATGATTAATTGAATATGTTAATGATCAAGAATTATATGATTTGATTTAAAATACTACGATTCTGATAGGAATAAATCTTTTATGATTGAATAGATTAAAGTAGGAAAAACAAGAACAAAATATGATCAAACAAGTGCTGAATGATTAATAGTCACGCCTCAGAAGAACTCGATGAAGAATAACTTCTGTAGAGGCGGAGAGTAGGGTTACAAATATAATTATCAAAACTTAACTTCAAATACGTAGCATGCATGAATCTTATATACTACCCCTAGCAGTAAATACGAGGGGGCAGGACCAAATCGTTTATACAAAATGGACTCAAAAGAATATGCCCAATGACGCAACACTTAATCTTCTACAGTTTACCCCTATGTGTCGATTGTGACCACATCCGTTTAGTTCTTGATTCGGTTCTGCACTTCGTAGACGTTGGGAATGAAGCCCAACAGCAGCTTGCGAACATGAATATACCAAGTGATCATATCAGTGAAACCTTGTTGTTGCCTCTGAATTTCGCAACCAGTTCCAGGATGAACTCCAGACAAGAAGTGGTAAATAAGTGCTTGTCTTCGAGATGGAAAAATAACTTGCATCGATCTGCTCCCTGACGATCTCTAGACGTATACACTACGAACAATCCTTTTTTGAAAATTTTCCCTAGCTTGAGCTTCCCAAAGTCTTTTGGAGCTTCTTTCGGAACAACACTTGGTTTTTGCCTCAAAACAGTGGCAATCTCTAAATCTATCGATCCAACTTCTTCAATATAAGATTTGATAAAAAGTTGAAGATGGGACACCACAGGTTCGTACTTCTCCTTGTTTCTCACCAGAATGTTATATATCACCATCCAGTCAAGGGAATTCAAAAAAGGTAGGTCTGCGAGATTGAATTCGCAGGCTTGAGATTCAGATCCTCTCACAACCTTTAACCTTGCATAAGGGAAGCTTTCGGTCTTGATCAGCCCAGTGACCTTTACAACAATAATCTTGCTCGCACTCCAAGTCTCATACTGAGGCTTCATGTGCTTCAAGTAGAAGGCAAACATCATTTGATCCGCAGTGCTGTCTGAGAGAGGTACGTTTGCAATTTTTATAAAAGCCCGAAACCTGAGTGCCTTTAGTGTGATAGGTAGGTCCAATTGCGAATCCAGGGTGTTCTGGATTTCAAAAGAAGCAATTGGATCCAACCAATACTGGCTTGGCATATCCACAGCTTGGTTTTGCATTCTGTTTAGAGTCCACTTAGGAAATAAAAGCATTTTGCTTTTAAGAGTGGCCTGAGCTTCCTTCTCTGCTTTTTCTTTTTCCTATGCCTCTTTGACGATGCGAGCATGATCATTAATCTCTGCTTCGTGAGCCTTCCACCTTTTGAGATCAGCTTCATCAGGCTCTTCGTCTTCACTATCATCAACAATGGGTTCTTCATTAAATATATTTTCTTTCTTGTTTGGTTCTTGTTTGATGACAGGAAGTTTAACTGGAGCTGGGGGGACATTTGTTTGATCTTTGGAGCTACCCTCTCCTCCTTGTTTCGAAAAAAAAAACATTGGTTGCGAAACACCCTCCAAATGATGTAACATTGCAAACATCGGTCTTAGCTTGTCAGCTAAATGCTTCTTCAATGTGATGGAGGTCATTAGATCATGAGTCTCAATGATATCAGAGAGCAGTTCAGTGACATCAGAGATACAACTGCAAGTGACTGCCTTCTCTGCTATCAAATCATCGACCTGTTTATGAGTGTATTGAAGCTTCGTTTCCAACACCTTGTATTTTTCTTCCTTGATGGAAAGGGCATCCATGATTTTACTTTCTGTTACAAGATCCGCCTGAAGCTTTGTTATTTTCTCAGTGATAGAAGATTGAAATGCTTCATGATCAGACTTAAGTGCCTTGTGAAGCTCAACAAAGTTTGACTTTTCAGTTTGAAATAAAAGACCAACGTTCTGAATAGCCTTGTTTGCAGCTACTGTGTTGGAGTTATAAGTGGTTTTGTAATCTTCCATGAATTCCATTGTGTTGGCAGATATTTTATCGACTTTTTCGGTCGTTGGCTTGCAGACATCAGTAGAATCAGAAACTACCTTAGATAAACTAGAGACATTGGTAGAGTGTTCCTTTGTTACTCGCTCAAGGATTGATTCAACAGTAGTTTTGGAGTAAGCTTCAGAGGTGGAGGCTTTGGATTCGAGAAGCAATTGATTAATCTTCTCATGAAGATATTTGAGTTCCTATTTTGTAGTAGATACTTTATCTTCACTATCATTCCGTATTTGAAAAGGATTGTAAGCGAATCCGTCCAAATCATCATCTTCATCATCTCCAAAAAGCATTTCAGAGTCATCAGTGCGAATGGGAGAAATGGGTTGGGTACCTTTAAGGTTGGGTAACATGGGTTGAAAAATCTGAAGTGTGCACCCGCGTATCAGATACGTTGACTGAACTTATAGGTGTAGCTGAGGTGTGGTGCGAGATGGTGGATTTGGTGAAAATAGGGATTGAGACTGGAACAGTTGTGGATGGTTGAGATGATACTGGTGGTGGCATAGGTGCGATGGTAATTGGGATAGAAGCAGTTGATTTTGGTGAGGGATGTGGAGTAGGAACAGAATCATTAAGTGCTGGAGTTACCTCATGAGTCGGAGATGTAGCCTCAATGCGAATAGGTGGTTCGTTGTGAATCTATTCTACTTCCTCAATGCGAATTGGTTCGTGTTCTTCCGTGTGAATGGGCTCATCCTCTTTATTGTGAACTATTGGATCTTGCTCAATACAAATGTTGGACTCAGTTTCGGAGTCAGAATCTTCACCTTCACTGTGAGATGGAGAAGAAGTCGGAGACTTTCGCTTTCTAGCAGGTTGCTTCCTTCTTTTTGGTGCAACAGTTGAAGTAGCAGGAGCCTTTCGCTTCTTAGAGGGAGATTTTTCAGCCTCAGAAGCTCCTTCTTTCGTAGTGACTTTCTTATTTTTTTTCTTTGACCCTCTGCCCCCTTTCTTGGCTTTATCTGCCTCAGCCAAAATAAATTGAAATTCGTCAAACAATGGATGAGGACCTGAAGGAGTAAGAGCACGATAACCCTCCAGAATTTTACTCGAGGGAGGAACATCACGAAACATAACATCTGGAATCGAGACAATGAAGGAAAACTTTGATCGATTAGCCACAATGATGTTATTTGTATGGAGGGTTGCAATAGAAGAAATTAATGCATCAGACATTACCGGAATCTTGAGCTGCTTGATTGCCTTGTTGACGATGATGGTCCAACATCTCGCACATGAGATCTCACTGTGACGAGCAACAGAGTGAGTACTCTGGATAAGTTGAGCCCAGAGGATAGAACCATAGTCAACATTTAGACCTGTGTAAAGGCCATACATCAGACCTATGAAAAGTTTGCTTGCACAGTCATTGCCAGTGACTCTTTCAGAAAATGATTTGAACAGGATGGTGAAAAGGGCATTCCATGTGGGTGGAAGATTGGATTTCTTGAACTTGGAAACCGCAGTGGGAGTTTCCTTGTACCACATTTGATAAAGCATTTCAAAGATTGCAACATTGGAGATGGTTTCTGGGTTGATCATGTTGTCAGACAGAGGCAACCCTAAAAGACTGTAGAATCAGGCTTTGGAGATTGATGTTGTGTGATTGTGGATGTTGAAGTACATCCTTTGTTCTTCCTTGACATAGTTAGCTGTTGTAACGCCCGTAGATACAGGCTAGTCAATTTAGAGACGATAAGCATCAAAAATGAGTTTTTGATGGAAGATTATTTAGAAGGATTAATCTTAACTAAGTTATATTATATGTTACAAGGATTCCGTACATATAAAGAACACTGAAATCCAAGTTATAACGAACAAGTTATGACCTATCGAAGTTTCGCGAAATAACCGACACGACACAGCGCGACGTAAATAGTGAATTTATGTTAGAGCGATATTTAGCCAAAACAATCTAAATAAGAATTGAAGATCTCATTGATAATAGTGCAAAAACATAAAGACAGACGAAAGCGGACGTCAAACAAAGGAGTTATGAGTTTATAACGGAGTTTTCCTGTCTCGACCTACTAAAAAATAATATAATAAAAATAAATTCAAAATTAGCCAACGGAGTCTAAATAAAAGTTGTAGATATTGCTTTTACCTACATGTCGATATAAAGAACGTCGAAAATGGAGTTCGTATGCGAAAGTTATGAATTTTTGAAGTTCAGGGCGCAAAACCCCAAAACTGTCATATACCATGACGTGGAAAGCAGTGCCACGATGTGGCAAGTCTTTTGAAACCTCCTGGAGTCCCCCAAACGCAACTTGTGATGAGGCATGCAGTGACGATCAAGCCCACGACGTGGAAATAGTGCCCACGACGTGGAAAATGAGAAATTTTCCCTATAAATAGAAATCAAGGGCCAACCGAGTTTGGTTGCTCATTCTCTCATCTCTCACCTGTATTACATCGATTTACGTGCAAAGAAATACCCCCGAAGCCCCGATATCAACCTCGATACCCAAAGCAATTCCCGAAGCCCGAAGATCCCGAGAAGAAAAGCGTTTCCGAACCAAAGCTTTGTCCGCGAGAAACCCGGTGTGTGAAGTGATCCCGGTTTCACCGAAGAATACTACTCTTAGAGCCGTAGTGCTATCCGATCATCTTATGATCAAGTGAGTGTATAGTCCCTTTCATAAACACGATTTTAATACAAGTATTTTTTGAATGTATTAAGTATATGTTTTGGGTGAGTGTGTGGTTACTTTCTTCTAACACATAAATATAAAGTATTAGCCATGAAATACATGTTATGTGTTATATATTATCTGTCTATTTGAGATGGGCTTGGAATTGATGTTTTTATACGGGTGTTAAATGATTTAAATTGTATATGTAATTTATATCTAGAAATATGTTGGGTAGAACATGGGTAGATGAAATAGTTGTGTGTTGAAATAATGTGATAAGAGATAGGTGAGGATATAATGGTGATGATAGTTAGGTGATGATAGATAGGTGATGAATTACGAGTCCAGGTGATGTTGTGGCTGCGTATTCATGCGATGATAAACTAACCCTTATTATGAATTACGAGTCCAGGCGATGTTGTGGCTGTGTATTCATGCGATGATATTCTAATCCTTATTATGAATTACGAGTCCAGGCGATGTTGTGGCTGTGTATTCATGTGATCATAGTCTGACCCTTATTATGATTTACGAGTCCAGGCAATGTTGTGGGTGCGAAATCATGCGATGACACCCTAACCCTTACTAGACACATATTGAGGGAGTGATCCCCGAATTAGTATTGTCTATGCAATATAGGCGATGATCCTTAGGAACAAACATATAAAGAAATAAGATGTAAGGAGATGGGAGGTAAACATGATATAGGAGGTGACCCTTAGGATAATATCTCTAGGGAAGATTAAACAAAGATAATGGGGATGGTTAATTGGGTTGATTGTTTGATGATTAAATATAATAATTATATTATTGTGGGTTGAAAACCCTATACGCTCACCAGGCTCCCAAGCCTGACCCACTCAGTTTTCTTTGCATTACAGGTAATGGCACAAGTGTATAAGTTGGTGGACTTGACGAGAGAATTTGGATTATAGATTAGTAGTTATAAGCAACTGTTGTAAGGTCTATTTTATATATTGTTTATGCTTTTGGTCTGTATCGGAACATCACATCCCAAGATTTTATTATTTAATGGAAATACATTCTCTTTGAGAAATGTTTTGAATCAAGACTGTCATGGGTTGGCTTGTAGAGGTCTAAGATGTTGGACAAAGGGCTACAACACTCATGAGTGCTCATAAGTTCTGAGTATTGGATTCAACCCGCGCTCATTGGAATCACTTCATGGATTTTATCACAAGTGATCATGAGACGATAATATCTTATATTCTTCAAACCTAGAGATATGAGTTGTTACTATGAGTTGGTTGTACATTGATTGCACGAAAACGCATTTGGTAACTTAGTGCTATAAAACGTGCCTTTGTGTATGATTCAACAAGTAGTAGAACAAGCCATATGAGTCGAAGTTTATCCATTCCTTTTACCTTCGGGATAAAAGCGATATCTGTGGGCCCCTCGATGATTTGATGATGACAAATGGAAGTTCTCGGCCGGGCCAGGACTGATTTGATTTGTTCAATTAGTCAGTCGTCATAAATCGGAAATCGGGAAACAACAAATGGACAGAGAGAATGATTATAATCCATGTCTCAGTCCATATGATATTTAGAATGGAGGAATATATGATCCTTTATCTAATGGACGCGTCATTGATTTGTTTAGAGTTCGACAGCGACTTTAAGAGCTACGATTGCTAGTCGGGTTATGAAGTCGTACTTGCAATAATAGTTTTAGACTTATCCAAGTGGGAGACTGTTGGATTAGATGTCTAAGTCCATAACTATTATTGGTATGTACTTGACCCGAGAGTAGCATGGTCCATTTGGGTTGCATATCATCAGGACAATTTGTTAGGATGGACTTTTGAGAGAAGGTTATTTATGGTTTATTAATATATTATAAGTTATAATATATTAATATGAAATCATATGTTTTAATTAGTATCGATCAAGAATTAATTTAGAATTAATTTAGTAAATCAAAAGAGACTAATTAAATCTATGGGGACTAATTATGAAAATTAATTATATTTATATGTGTTGGGCTTATGATCCATGTTGGACCATGTTTATGTAAGGATACATAAAGAGTTGGGCCACATGAACCATGGATCATAAAACCCATGGGTATGGATTATGGGTTATACCCATGACCCTTGGAATCCTACATATAAATAGGTTACTCCATAGCCAAAATCACCACTTCTTTTCTTAGAGAAATATGGAGGTGTTTTGGTGCATGGAATTCTCTCTCAAGAGCCACCTTTGTCCTAGGTGTGTTGTGATTCCATTTGAGGCATTTCATACTATTGGTGCTAAGCTCTTAAGGCCAAATACATCAAGACTTCAAGCCACATAAAAGGTATGTTTCCCTAACTAGTATATTATAAGGTTTATGTCAAATACATGTTAGTTATAGGTTTAATGCCTTGGAAACCATTTGCATGTATAATTAGTGAAAACATAGATCCAAGGTATTTAGGGTTGTATATGCACCATAGGATGTTGTATGATACCAAAACCCAACAACTAGATGTCAACAACGCCTTTTTGCATGGTGACTTAGAAGATGAAGTCTACATGAAGTTGCCACAAGGATTTTCTAAAAAGGAAGAAGATCGTGTTTGTAAGTTACAAAAATCCATTTATGGCTTAAAACAAGCCTCAAGGAATTGGTATCAAAAATTTACCAAGGCTCTTATCAGTGATGGTTTTCAATAATCAAAGGCTGATCATTCCATGTTTAATTTCAGAAATGGAATGTTACATGCTCTCATCTATGTTGATGATGTTCTTCTTATAGGGAATGATGCTCATAAGATTGATCAAGTAAAAATTAACTTGCAAAGTCAGTTCAGTATAAAAGATTTGGGCCCACTCAAGTATTTCTTGGGAATTGAGGTTGTTAGGTGTCCAAAGGGTTTTTTAATCAGCCAGAGAAAATACACTTTAGACATTCTTGAAGATTGTCATATTCAAGATTGTCGGCCTAGTGATTTTCCTATGGATCAAAATCTTCGACTGATGAAAGAGGATGAAACTCCAGAAGTTGACGAATCAAAGTATAGAAGGTTGGTTGGTCGTTTACTCTATCTCACGGTTACTAGGATTGATATTGCTTTTAGTGTTAATCAACTGAGTTAACATATAAGCAAACCTAGACAGTCCTACATGGATGCTGCTTTTAGAGTTCTTTGATATTTAAAGACCATTGCAGGACAAGGTTTATTTCTTTCGTCAGAGGGAGACATGACTCTTACTGCCTATTGTGACGCCAGCTAGCTTAGTTGTCATTCCACTAGAAGGTCGTGTACAGGTTATTTCATTGAAATTGGGGGTTCTCCTGTCTCATGGAGAACAAAAAAGCAAAGTGTGGTAGCTAGGTCGTCCGCTGAAGCTGAGTACAAAGCCATGGTGAGTACTGTTTGTGAGATTCTATGGCTATGTTGGCTTTTGTGTGATCTTGGTGCCAAGCAATGTGATGCAACTGTTTTGATGTGCAACAATAATGTTGCTCGACATATTATAGTCAATCCAGTCTATCATGAACGTATTAAGCATGTTGAAATGGACTACTATTTTGTTTGGGAACGAGTTATGAGTGGAGAAATCAAGATCGTTGCAATAAAGACGGAAGAACAACCAACTTATATCTTTACCAAATCTCTTGGAGCAAAAAAAAATCATTATTTACGTGGCAAGTTGGGTGTTTGCAATCCGCACAGTCCAACTTGAGAGGGAGTGTTGGAGTCGTTATCTTCATAGTTAGAGTCGTTGTCTTCACATTTTTATTATTTAGATATATGTTTATCTCTTTTTCAATTTAGTCGTTATCTTTAACTTATTATATAAAGTATTCTAATTGGTTTCTGGAGCCAGAGAGAATAATACGATACTTTCATAAGTTTTTGTTAATTTCACAACATCCCTCTTCGCAATTGTAGAATATTGTGTTGAGTCCTAACCTTAATATTTCATATTGGGTGTAATATTACAGATTATCATCTAACCTAAACTTTGTTCTTCTTCTTTTTCAGATGTGTATCCCAAACAATGCTTCCACTCCAATCCCTTCAGGCTCTTTCTCCTTCATGAACCCATTTGGGAGGGTTATTTTCGATGGCTCGAACTTCAATGATTGGATTCGAAACATCCGAATGGCTACTCGTTATGAGGACAAAGAATATGTCCTAGACAAAGAGCTAAAGGAGATTGATGTCACCACTGCTTCTCCCGGACAAATCGTTGAACATATTGCTCATGAGAGGGATGCGACAAAGGTGTCATGTCTAATGATTGCTACCAAGACTGCTGAGCTGCAAAAGTCCTATGAGGACTACTATCCTTTTGAAATGTATCAAGATTTGATGGAAAGATATCATCAAAGTGCTCAGCAGGAGAGGTATGAGATCTTTGCCTCCATGATCACAACCAAGCTGAAGGATGGAGTGTTCATCACAACCCATTTGCAAAAGATGCAAAGATATGTAGACCACTTGCTAAAACTGAATGCCAATTTTAATGAAGAGTTGGTCATAGATATAATTCTACACTCTTTACCTTCTTATTATTGATCAATTAGGTTAGTAAATTAGATCTGTTACTTGTGTTCGATACTCGACTGCTTATGCTATATTATTTGCAAGAAGGTCCACTGCCTAGTCGTAATAGTTTGTTAGATAGTTGGTAAAACTAGTAGGAATAATAATTACGCATCATTCATGTATCCGCCAAAATCATAGTGGTTTGTGTTTAATGGATTTTTTTTTTTTTATTTTTATTTTAAAAGCACTATGATTTATTGTTTGCAATTGTAAATCAACTCATCTTATGCTCTTCATATCACGATTAATCATAGTAAGTGTTTTTTTTTTTTTTTTTTCATGATGAATCTTCGTAGGAAAGTATGGTGGTTTTAAATATTACTTGTGTTGTCCTACTATCTTTTCTACAAATGTTACACCTAAAAAAAATCATCTTATATCTACCATAAATACCAATGCAAGTATTGCATTTTGCAGGAAAATATGACATTTTCACAAGAAAGTATGGTGGTTTAATATATTACTTGTGTGTATATTTTTCTTTAAAAGTACAATAATTTACTTTTCTACAAGAATTGTACATTTTCATAGGAGCCTACGGTATTTTCACAAGAAAGCTATGCAAATTACATATTTTACTGGGAAAATATAGTATTTTGACGTAAAAGTTACGGAAATACCATAAACAATAATTATTAAAGTTTTCGTTATCTTTGTTGGGAAAAATCTTAAATATATAACGATAATATAAAAATAAAATAGGTCTACTATTGTAAACATCCTATATTTTAGATTTTCTAGATTAATAAACAACTTTATTTTTTTCATATACAAAGACTTTAATTTTTTAATTTATTCAGTTTGAAAAATTTAGAAGGTTTTCTAGTTAGATTTTTATTTTATTTTTCATAACAAAAACCTAATTTTTTTACCAAAAAAATGTCAAAATTTGAGTTTTATTCAGAAAAACGTTATCTAAAGCTAGAAAATTATAAGTAAACCTATTAACAACGTCAAATAAAAAAAATACTAAGTTTTTTTGAAAAAGTTAATTAAGGTTTCATCCCAAATCAAAAACAAAATATAAGATATTTTAAGTAGATAATACTTCTAAAAGTCTGACAAAAATATTATGAAATATAATTTTAGAGAAATTAAACATCCTTCAATCTTTTGTTTCCTAATCCCTGAATCTAGATAAATTGTTAAAATCAAAACAACCGATTAAGAGATAATTAGTGTATTCTACATGTATGAATAGAAGATTAGTATGGCCAAAAGATATTTAAAAAAATAAATAAATAAATAAATTAAAAAAAAAAAAGTATGTTTGGTTGTAGAAAATTATTTTTATTTTTTATGAAAATGTTTTCAGAAAATAAAGTTAAGTTATTATTTTGGGTTTTTAATGAAATTTTTAAAAAACTTGTTTTGTTGGATTCAATGGAGTTTTTATTTTTCATCTTAAAATTTTAAAAAACTTTGGATAACTATAAAAAAACATTTTTTTAATTTACATATTATTTAGAAAAATAAAAATTTTCATTTTTTTAGAAAATTCCCGTTTTTCTAATTTAAAAAACTAAAAAACTTTCCGCAATGAAACGGAGCCTTAATTTTGCATAAAATCAAACACCACATGATTCCATTGCATTTTGCAAACATTACACTTTACCTCTCTTTACCTTATTGTTGGTAATATAATTTGTTTTTTTAAACGGTAAATATATTAAAAACAAAACTAGTAAAAAGCTAAATACCTACATAATACAAAAAGTAATTGGGAAGCAAATCAAATCAAAGCAATTTAAACTAACAAAACCAGTTTTATATCTGCTCCAACTGAATGACACAATTCGAATATCATCCGCCATAATTTCATGGAAGATTGCTCTAAGTTCTTGAATACCACCAAGGTGAAAAGCATGTTATACATAGCATAGAAAAGAATTGAACCTTTATGAGTGAAATAAATGAATTGAATGGTCAAAGGAAGAGACTGTTATAATTGTATGTCAAGTACTTTTTGGTGGCTCTTGCTCGGTCGATTTCATCTCACAATCTCACGCTCTCACAAACTCATAATTTATTTATTCTTTTATTATATGTTAGTTTTTTATTATAGTTTATTAAATTCGATGATGATAGATTTCCTTTACATATAACTCGTTAGAACAATCTAGTTTATTAAAAAAAAAAACTAGGTTATAACTCGTGGAAACCACGATTAGTATATTTAAAATTTTTATATAGATAAAAAAACTATCAAAAAAAAAAAAAAAACAAATGTTGACTGTAAGTAATTATAAATTAATTTGTCAAGCAAAATAAACATAATAAAGTTATTAAAATACGTTTTTGTATTTTTAAAATTTGAATTGAATTTGATTTGTTACCAAAAAAATAATAATAATAAAAATCATAGAAAAATATCACGTGTCAAAAAGACATTCTAAAAAACTGATACATGTCATTTTTAGGTTTCATTTATTAGAAGAGATAGATAAGAACGACAAGATTGTAAGTTACTATATATATATATATATATATATATATATATATATATATTATATATATATATATATATATATATATATATATATATATATATATAAGGTTAAACAATGAACTCTTTTTCAGAAAGCGAACCAACGAACTTATGCATCGATCAAATGCATAAGTTTATTTTGGAAATTTCAATCGGCAACCTCACAACTAACAGAGTTATTGTAGTCCCTCCACGGCAGAAACTCACCCTCATGCCAGATTCATTGAAAAACTTCATATTCATTGGAAAACTCCAACTATAGCTTCTACTTCCCCAAAAATCTATTAATTTCTTGTTCTAACTTTGCTTTCGTCATTCCAATGTTTTTCAGGATGAAGATTACAGTTCCGATGACAGCGATGGTGGCGTTGGTGTTACGGATGAAATTGTGGCTTTTGCTATGGATATTGTTATGCAATTTGAAATTTGGTTGGATTTTTCTTTCCCCAATGATGAAGATGATGGTAAAGGTAATATAATTCAAATTAGATCAAATTTCAAACTAACAATTAATAATTTGCTTACTCTTTATCTAGTTCAACATACTATTATCTTATGCTCAATTGAATGTCTCTTAGAACATTCATTATTTATGATAATTGATGGTGTAATTTACTAGTTAGACCACAACTAATGCCATGTCCTCTTCCCAATTTGGTTTAACAATTGGATTATGATTTCTTTTCCTTTTACTCTAGACTTTCACATGTCTGATGCTCAACAAGATCATGTTTTGGCTATTAAAGATCAAGTACCAAGATTAAGTACTCTTAGGATTAAGCTCTGCCCTGATTATATGACAAAGATAACCTTCTGGAAGATATATTTTGTAGTTTGGCATCTGATACCCGAACACAATGTTGTCAAACTTCTTTCAACACCCAAGGTGAGTCTGCTTGTATTCATAGTCGTCGATTTCCTCCCTAATTCATGGATAATAATATATATGTTTGATGATTTCTTTTACTTTTACTCCAAAATTTCACATGTCTGATGCTCAACAAGATCATTCTTTGGCCATTGAAGATCTAGTACCAGGATTAAGTGCTCTTATGATTAAGCACTGCCCTAATTATATGAAAAAGTGTTCCTTCATGAAGATATATTTTTTAGTTTTGCATCTGATACTCGAACACAATATTGCCAAAGTTCTTTTCACACCCAAGGTGAGTCTCCTTGTATACATAGTCATAGATTGCTTTCCTAATTCATAGATAGTAATATATATGATTGATGATTCATATTTTGTATGTAGATTCTGAGAGCCAAATCCTTGTTAACACATGAGTTGAAAAACTGACTGTTGAAGAATGAAGCACGAAGAATCAATTCTTTTTATGAAAATATAGTTGTAAATAACTTAATTTGAATAATATTTGAAATATGAAAGTATAAAAACCCTTTTCCTCCCAAGAATGTGTTATGCTTTCCGAATCCCTAAACGACGATCTTCATCTTCTTCCCTCTTGCTCAAACAGTTTTCTTGCAAGTTCTTAAAACCTTTTCTGCAACAATGGTGAAATCAAGCATCTCCAAGAAATAGCCGAAAGCCTCTGGGTCAGCTCGACCAACAGGCTCTGAATCTACTATCAAAGATCAATCTCCTTCCATTTCCACTTGTAGAATCCCAATTCAATGATCCAAACCAGTGATCAAAACAAATAAGAAGAAGAATGAAGAAGAAGAAGTTTATCAAACAATGCATACATCTATTATAACAAACGTCTGGCACACCTTGAGTACACACATAATGACTGTAAACACCTCTGATACGTCACTCTACTCTGACAAACTCTGACACTATTTATAGGGATAGACTGGCCGTGAATAGGGTTTACAGCCGAACACACGTTCACGACCGTAAATCTATTCACAACTGGGAACACCAACATAACCGCGAACTACACCAAAATGTACAATAGAAAGACCAAGACCCTCTAAAGACCTATACAAATGATTGATGGGTTTTGAGCATTCTAACACTTCCTAAGTGTACATGCAACCCTAATAACCTTGGATCTATGTTTGTCTAATTTGTCATGCAAAGTTGAATTCCAAGGTTATATCCTATCTAGCATACATGGGGAACAATTTTAACATAAAGTATAGATAGAATAACTTACCTTGTTGTTGCTTGTGTTCCTTGAAACCTTGTGAGCCTAGCACCTCAAGTGGTGATGCCTCAAATGCTTCACACAACACCAAATGCTTTTGGAAGAACTTATGAGAGAATACACACTCTTCAAAATCGGCCAAGCCCCCTTATTACTTAGTGTATATGTGTATGTAACCGATTTGGGAGGAGATCATATTCCTTATATAGTGTTGACACATCTAGGGTTAAACCCTAATGTGTCATGACTCTTCATTTCCATGACCCATGGGTTTGTAACTCCCATGGAGCATCCATGGAGCATCCTATGGGTGGAACCCAACTTGATGATCCATGGAGCCTTTTAGCCCACTATACAAGATATGGATGATTTACTTAATCAACCCATATATTTAATTAGTTATCTTTTGATCACTTAATTAATTCTAAATTAATTCTTGATCAAACTAATCAAATAATATTATTAATATATTAGAACTTATAATATATTAATAATCTCCAAGCGTTATTTCTCTCATTTAGTTTATCCAATTGCATGGTGCCATGCAACCCAAATGGACCATGCCGGGTCGGGTCAAGTACATACCAGAAATAGTTATGGACTTAGACACCTTATCCAACAGTCTCCCACTTGGATAAGTCTAGTAACTATTACTGCAAGTATGACTTCAGGAACCGATCGGCAATCGTAGCTCTTTACAAGGTTTCTCGAAACTTGAGAAGATGATGGTACGCCATTTAAGATAAGTGATCATATAATCCTCTGTTCTAGATATCAGTCGGACAAATACATGGAACAATGTCTTACTTATTGTCCAACATTTGTTTCCCGATTTCCGATTTGTTTGACAAAGAACTTTATTGAACACATCAATTTAGTTCTGACCGGGCCCGGTACATAGGTCAAAACAAAATCATCGAGGGGCCCAGATATCAGCTTCTAATCCAAGAAGGAACAGATAAACTTCGACTCATATGTTTGTTCTACTACTCATTGAATTACACATAAGAGCACGATTTTATAACATCGAGTTACCAATGCGTTTTTCGTACAATCAATGCATAACCAACTCGTAAGTAACAAATCATATCTCTAGGTTTAAAGACTTATATGATATTACCGTCTCACGATCACTCGAGATAGAATTCCATGAAGTGATTCCAGTGAGCGTGGGTTGAGTCCAATGCTCAGAACTTATGAGCACTCATGATTGTTGTAGCCTTGTCCCAGACCTCTACAACCAAACATGACAGTCTTGATTCATACCTACTTCCGACATATGACCGACTGTGGAGGTTTGAATAATATGTTATACCAAACAAAATTATTCTGGAAGTCAAAACATGCAAAAGAAATATAGTAAACGATCGACAAGAGATAGCAACACTTTACTCATAAATAAAACACTTTTATTCATCATCAAATGTCAATTACACTTTACAAATTTCGAGATTATCTAACTACTAAATCTAATATCATCCTTCAGCCCTATGCTCCGAGCATGCTGGAGATGCTTAACCCGAGTCAGTCCCTTCGTGAGGGGATCTGCCGGATTCTCATCTGATGATACCCTCTTTGCCACGAGGAGTCCTTCTTCGATCCGATGTCTGATGAAATGGTATTTTCTGTCGATGTGTCTGGATCTCCCGTGATCCCTTGGTTCCTTGGCTAAGGCAACAGCACTTTCACTATCACAGAAAATTTCCATCGGCTCTTTAATAGCTGGTACAACTCCAAGGTCTCCAATGAAGTTCCTCAGCCATAACGCCTCCTTTGCCGCTTCGCTAGCTGCAATATACTCTGATTCACAAGTAGAATCTGCCACTGTCTCTTGCTTGGAACTCTTCCAAGAAATTGCTCCTCCATTTAGGGTAAAGACCCAGCCCGACTGAGAGCGGAAGTTATCCCTATCAGTCTGGAAGCTAGCATCACTATACCCTACAACTCTCAAGTCATCACTCCCACCGAGGGTAAGGACCCAGTCCTTAGTCCTTCGTAGGTACTTGAGAATATTCTTTACCGCAATCCAGTGTGCCTTGCCAGGGTTCCCCTGAAACCTGCTAACCATGCTCAAGGCAAAGGCTACATCAGGTCGAGTACACGTCATAGCATACATGATCGAACCTACAGCCGAAGCATAAGGTATTCGACTCATTTCTGCTATCTCAGCCTCAGTGCTAGGGCTTTGTGTCTTACTCAGCTTGGCGCTACTCTGGATGGGCAACTCTCCTTTCTTGGAGTCTTGCATTCTGAATCTCTTCAGAATCTTCTCCAAGTAGGTACTTTGACTAAGTCCAATTAGTCTTTTACTCCGATCTCTCAAGATCTTATCCCCAAAATATAGGCAGCTTCACCAAGGTCCTTCATAGCGAAACACTTTCCAAGCCAGGACTTTACTTCCTGCAGGTTGGAATGTCGTTTCCTATGAGTAGTATGTCATCCACATACAATACCAAAAAGCTAACTATACTCCCACTAGCCTTGACATATACACAAGATTCATCTTCACTCCTAGAAAAGCCAAATTCCTTGACCTTTTCATCAAAGCAAAGATTCCATCTGCGAGGTGCTTGCTTTAATCCATAAATGGATTTCTCAAGCTTACACACTCTATTAGGGTACTCGTTACTGACAAAACCCTCTGGCTGACTCATGTAAACATCTTCAGCCAACTTCCATTAAGGAAAGCGGTTTTGACATCCATTTGCCAAATTTCATAGTCATGAAATGCGGCTATGGCTAACAGAACCCGAATAGACTTAATCTTGGCTACCGGAGAAAAGGTCTCATCATAGTCCACTCCAGGAATTTGAGAGAAGCCCTTTGCAACCAGTCTAGCCTTATAAGTGTGTACTTTACCATCCATGTCGGTCTTCTTCTTGAAGACCCATTTGCACCCTACAGTCTTTCGACCTGGTACATTCTCAACCAAGTTCCAAACTTGATTGTCATACATGGATTGTATCTCGCTATCCATAGCCTCTTTCCATTTGGCAGACTCGGGGCCCGCCATGGCTTCCTCGTAGCTGTTAGGGTCATCTTGACTTACTAGTGTCTCATCACTAATAAGTGTCTCACCTTCTGCAGTAATATGGAATCCATAGTAATGCTCAGGTGCACTCCTAACTCTCGTGGAACGCCTCAGAGGTACAGATTCGTCAATTGGCTCAACAGGAGTTTCCTCCTCAAGTTGAGGGCTAGAGTTTGAAGTTCCTTCACCACTTGACTCTTGAATTTCTTCAAGATCAACTTGCCTCCCACTGTCTCCTTGGCTTATAAACTCTCTTTCTCGAAAGACTCCTCTTCTTGCTACAAAGACCACATTGTCACTAGGTCTGTAGAAGAGGTAACCAAAGGATTGCTGTGGGTAGCCGATGAAAATACACCTCTCGCTTCGGGGTTCGAGCTTATCATGAGTCTCGCGTCTCACGAAAGCCTCGCAGCCCCAAATCTTGATGTGGTCTAGTTTAGGTACTTTACCAGTCCACATCTCGTGAGGAGTTTTGGCAACTTTCTTTGTAGGGACTAGATTAAGGATATGGGCGGCAGTCTCTAAGGCATACCCCCAGAATGAGATTGGTAGCGAAGCTCGACTCATCATGGAACGAACCATGTCCAACAAGGTTCGATTACGCCTCTCAGCCACACCATTCAACTGCGGTGTCCTGGGAGGTGTCAATTGTGAGACAATCCCACATTCCTTTAGATAGTCGAGGAACTCTGAACTAAGATACTCACCACCTCGATCGGATCGAAGCATCTTAATGTTCCTGCCCAATTGATTCTCGACTTCCTGTTTAAATTCCTTAAACTTCTCGAAAGTCTCTGACTTATGCTTGATTAAGTAGACATATCCATATCTACTGTAATCATCGGTAAAAGTCAAATAATAACGATTAGCATCCTTGTGGCATGTTTGAATGGTCCACACACATCCGTGTGTATAAGGTCCAACAAACCTTCACCCCTTTCACATGAGCCTGTGAAGGGTGACTTTGTCATTTTTCCAAGTAAGCATGATTCGCAACTATCATTTGACTTTAGGTCAAACGACTCCAAGACTCCATCCTTTTGGAGTTGGCCTATGCGTTTCTTGCTTATATGTCCAAGACGACAATGCCATAATGATGCTTTATCCAAGTTATTATTATTAGTAGAATCAATACACAAAACATTATTTCCTAAGTTATCTACAATAGATACAGCTTCATACACACCATCACAAGGTAATGCTTTAAAATAAAGTACATTATTAAAGAAAGCATTAAT